TGTGCAACAGGGATGCATTTTTAATATTAAAATTTAATATTTTATATTAAATTTGAAAATTTTTATGATTTTGTCATTAAAATTAATTGTATTCTTCCATTTTATGGGCGAAGCTTATTTTTGACTTAATGGCTGCGAAAATAAGCAGAATTGTCAACTTTGGATTGAAGATCACCCAGAGTATTGAAAAAGCTACCAATGGATTCAACATTGAATCCTATGATGGTGGCATCATTTAGCATTAAACCGTATCTCCTCCAAGAAGCGATTCGCGATTCGTAACGTAACTGTGGATGGTAAGGGTTACCGTGAAATGATATCAAACTTTCATGGCGCAAAATGCAAGAGAGCGATTTGTCTCACATGAGGCTTCAACCAGACGGGGTGCCACATGCCACACAGCACGCCTAACAATGGCCCTTTTGAGAAGCGGATTTGGCGAACATTTTATTTCCTGTTCAGGACCGGTCAATTCACTTCCTAAATCGAGCACGCCTTTACATTATTTTTGTAAAGCTAAGTTAAAGCTCATGCCTATACAGACGATTGACACATTGGAAGACATCATCATGATGGCCCTGCTAAGAAAGTTCATTGCGCTCCAATTGCATTGGAAGACAATATTGAAGCATTTATTTGTGAGATACCAGCCAAAATGTTTGAAAGAGTAGGCCAAAAATATTTACATTTTTTTTTTAAATTTTATTGAATGAAAGTAAAAAAATCTCGAAAATAGAATCAAATTTTAGAATAAGTTTATTTTTTTTCTAACCTTCACCTTTGGCACGAAACGCTGCCCGCTGCATTTTGGCCCATTGGCCAACCGAATGTGCACATTTTCAGCTGACCTCTTTGGCAAGTAAACACGATCATTTTGTTTGTTTACAAACTGCAGAACAACGAATGTTTTCTCATCGGAGAAAACCAAATTCGACAGTTCACCACTTTTGACCAAGCTAAGCAACTCTTTAGCTCTTTTGAGTCTATTTTCTTTCTGTTGCTGTGTAAGTTCTTGCACTTTTTAGAATTTCAATGGCTTTACCCCGAGCTCATTTTACAATATTTGCCGAATGGAATATCGCGATATGTTCAGCTCACGAGCCATTTTTCGGCCACTGCGACGCGGGTTTCGATCAAGTCGCTTCTTTAATTTTCGAATCATTTCTGCTGATGTTGCTGTTTTCCACTTCCACTTCTTTGACGTCGGGCTAGTCTGAAGTTGGTTGCAGTTTTTTCATCTCACCCTGTAGACTCTTGAGGTCTTCTAAGACCTATAGTAGAATTTTATGACAAATAATTTTGTGTTTTGTTTTATTACGATCCCGTTTAAAGTAAGTTTTTCAACCATATATTCCATAAAGACACCTTTGTTGACTCGCTTGAGACTTTAAATTTTTATGTACACTATTGCCGACGACGACGACAATCCGAATATTTTCAAAAAATTTAAGTGTTGTTTTTAAATCTATTTCCATATCCTGCTAGATTTTCCCCCTAAATATTGGAAAAATTCCATTTAGTCTCACACTGTTATTCATCATTAAAATACTGTTTGCAGATCTTGCTGAATTTCAAAAACAAATTTTAATTATTTAAATAATTTATAAAACCGATTTTGCTACAAAATTATAGAATTCCGCTTAGAAGCTAAATTGCATAAATGGGTCATTAAAATAATTTCAAAATTATTTCCCTATAATTTATCACGAGAATTTGTTTTATTCATCTTAAGCTAAATTCGGAAATACATTGTTCTAATATTGTGGAAATATTTTGAATTTATTTTTTTGTTTATTTTTAGTTTAATTTTTAATCGATTTTGTTTTGCTGCAAAATCTTTTAGCAAACTAATATATTCAGCGCTCATAATAATATTCAAATAATGCATATGGCAGGCAGACGCGCCATAATTAAATATAACAATTGCCGGACCAATCTTAAGGCAGAAACCAACAGGAAAACAAACAAAGTGGCTAAATAGTTATCGTTTTTTGTTGATATACCACAGCAACACTAACAACAAAACCGTTTATAAACCCCCAGACACGTTTTTTCAAACAAATTTAAAATTTTTATTAGCATGGTACCAATTTGCTTTAGTTGGTGTATTTATTGTTGCATATTTTGTTGTTGTTGTTTTGCTTTATATATTTCTTATATTGGGTTAAATTAAAAGTGCTACGGACTTTGGACCGCATCATATGTTATTTGTTGGGGTCTGTTTGTTTTTATTTATTTTTTTTTTTCATTCTGTCTCTTCTTTGTTATTTGTTTTTATTTTTTCATATTCTCTGACACACAATCATCAGTTGGCCAGAGTTATCGCTTAATACGGTCACTCCACTCCCTCTCTTCTTAGTCTCTCGTTTACGTCTTTATATCTCTCTCTCTGTGAACACTTGGGGTTTTTTGGATTCCTATAAATGCTAATCTTGTCATTTATGAATGAACAACACAGGTTTTACGATTCCAACACATAGTCCAGGGGTATGTGTGTTTGCCTTGCCTTCTGGAGGTTGTGAGTTCGAATCATATCGAGGGGGAAAGAAAATAAGTTTTCTTCACAAATTTTAGGTAATTGCGCTTGCACTTAAAATGGAATACATCGAATTTTCTTTGTAATTATTGTTAAAGGAAGTTTGTATTCTGTGACCAAGGTGCTAGAGAAAATGTTTTCAATTTGCAACTATTGGCTACGCTAACAATTACTAGTCGGTATACTAACGGAAACTATAAATATTATTTTAAACAAAAGTATTTGAAATCAATAATTTTTTTATTTTTTGAAATCTCTAATTTGCCGCTTGCCATGACAAGAATTGCATTAATTAGAGATTGAATGACATGCAAAGGATTTAAATAATTTATTGGCAAGGAATTTTCATCCAACTTTTGGCATTATATCTTAACTGAACGCCATTTGACCCATGGTATCAGCATCACAAAACCATTGGTATTTTAACCCAAACTATGGCGTAGTATCTTCGCCAGCTTATACTTGGATCCTGGACATTTTGTTTAGTCAAAATATAAACCCAAAAACGCCTCTTCTTGAAAGTGGGCTTAACATTCAAGGTATTCGACTTGTGGGCTCCATTTGGAGAAATTGATTCGATACTGCTTGAAAGAACTTTGCATATGAATTTTAATTGGCCAACTTGTTTGAGTGCTTACGTCGCAAACTGCCTGTCGAATGATTGTATAGAATTTGTTTAAATTTATTTTAATTAAAACTTTCCTTTTTTAATTGAACAAAGGAGAAGAAAGTATAAAATTGTTAAGAAATCAAAACTTTAGAAGAGAGACAAGTATTCTAATACTTGGTCTTTGCAGCCAAAGTTATTTTTAAAATAGACCTCAAATTAAAAATATTTCTTGACTATGGACAAAATTGCTTAATTATACCCTCCACCATAGTATGGAGGATAAATTAAGTTTGTCATTCCGTTTGTAGCACCTCGAAATATACATTTTAGACCCCACAAAGTATATATATTCTTGATCAGCATAAATTCTATATCGATTTAGCGATGTCCAGCTGTCCGTCTGTGAAAATCACTCTAGCTTTCGAACGAAATGAAGTAGGTTGATAAAATTTTACTCAAATGCGCATTATGTCTGCAGGACTTTTGGGTCATGGTATAGCCCCCATGTAATGACACCTCCCTTTTTACTGTATTTTGGTGATTTAAGCAACATTATTCACCGGAAAGGTTTTAAATTTGACATTTGAAGTTCGTAATGTATATTACAGCATAAGACTGAAAAATGTCTGTGTAAGTCCACGTCTCCATATAGCCCCAATATAACGGCACCTCCCGATATTCGGTACTTTGATGATTTTTATTTATTTATTTATATATTCACTTGTAACACAGAAGCCTTCATGGCCTAAATAAAGTATTACAAAGCATTACAATAATCCTGATAATGTTAACTAGCGACATTATTCACCGGAATTGTTTCAAATTGGTATTTGAAGTTCGTAATGGATATTACACCCTATGACAGAAAAATGCCTGTGCAGGTCCATGTCTTTGTATAGCCTCTATATAGAGGTACCCCCTGATATTCGGTATTTTGATGATTTTAGGGATATAATTCACCGGAATTGTTTCAAATTTTGTGTTTGAAGGTCGTAATGTATACTACAGCCCAAGACAGAAATTTGTCTGTGCAGGTCCACGTTTAGGGATTTTTAGGGACAATATAATAATAGCTACATTCGGTATTTTTAAGATTAGAACAGAATTTTTAACGGATTTTATTGTTTTTGAGAATTGCCAAATTCGTTCCAAATGGTGGAGGGTATTCAAAGTTCGGGCGGCCGAACTTAAAGCTTTTTTACTTGTTTTTTAACTAGAAATAATAACCCATTATTATGTCTAATAGGGTTGCATAAGATTGGGTAAAAAGCTTAGGTATCCTAAATGGTAATGGTGACACTTTTAGTATATTCTACTCAAAACTTTAAGAAAATGTACCCAAAAAGCCATCGAAATGCATTTTAACATGGGGTATTGCTCTATAGTAGAATTGGGATTTTTTATGTCTAGTTAGCAAAGAGGAAGATATGAAGTTCCGGCTCAATCAAACAAAAAACATGTTTCTTTATTTGGTTTTTTTCGAGCCGTCAGACAACAAATAACTATTTTGTTAATTGCATTGTTTCATCAACAAAAAACATTACCTAGAACACAATCTGAACAACCCTGAACTTGTAGACTGACTGAACGGAAAAGCCAGTTTTGCTAATTAAAAGGAAGCTGAATTGTGTTGGAATCAATCGATTTCTAGTATTTTGTTCTAATTACTGCAAGTGTCACAAATGTTATCAACCACACATTTGATAACTATTGTCTACAGAGAGCCTGGAATGTTTTTCCTTGTAACGACATTTCATCTATTAATTACGTTTTAAATTGTTTTGTAATCATTATTTTTTCTACATTTTTTACACTGATACTTACATATTTTATTCATATATTTTTTCTTTCCAGCTATGACATGGTCCATTTCGGTCATGCCAACTCATTGCGACAAGCCAAAGCCCTTGGTGATAAAGTCATTGTTGGCATACACACCGATGAGGAGATAACCAAACACAAGGGACCACCCGTATTTACCGAAGAGGAACGTGTCAAAATGGTAAAAGGCATCAAATGGGTGGATGAAGTCGTCTTAGGGGCACCCTATGTAACAACATTGGAGGTTTTGGATGAACACAATTGTGACTTTTGTGTGCATGGAGGTAAGCGTTGTGCTGTGTGTGTGAAAAAGAAAAAATAATAATATATATTTTATTTTTAATTTTAGATGATATTACAATGACCGCAGAGGGTGTTGACACATATCACTTGGTAAAGAAGGCCAATAGATATAAGTAAGTTTGGACATTCATTTACGTATTTGAAACTATTTTTATAGCAAAAAAATTTTAATTTGTTTAAAAATTTTGCTCACTGTCTGGTCATATAGAAAGATAAACTTTGGACATTATAGAGATGACGACAAATCAGTTTTATATATGATTAGGAGGTCATTTTTTTGCATGAAGTCCAGAAGGTCATCTTTACAGAAGAGCATAGATTATTAAAGATGAGCAAGAGATCATTATCTTTTTAACAGGGTGAGATAAAAAACTGCAACAAAGTCAAACGCCATCATTTTTACATTTTTTGTTTTAAATTTTATTGAATGAAAGCAAAAAATGTGGGAATTTCAGAATGTCAAATTTTAGAATGAGTTTAGATTTTTTGGAATTGCTCACCTTAGGCTGCCCAAGTGTTGATCTGCGATATTTTGGTCCATTCCCGGCAAAGCGCTTGCTTGATGTGATCGACACTTTGATATTTTTTAGTGCTAACCTTGCTTTCCAAAATACTCCAGACACAATAGTCCAGCGGATTGGTATCCGAAGATTTTGGTGACAATTGTGCGCTGAAAATGAAGCAAGGAACCTCATTTTGTAACCATTCTTGGGTGGCGCGTACTGAGTTCGATGATGCTGAGTCCTGTTGGGAGTTTAATACACCCTCCAGAATATTGTCGCTATAATGATCGGCATGCCACGGTCGATTAATACGAGCGGAGAGCGAGCATCGGCTGTTATGGCGGCCCACACCATCACCATGACCGGCGCGTGAGTTCTAGTGGCCAACCGAAGGTGCACATTTTCAGCTGACCTCTTTGGCAAGTAAACACGATCATTTTGTTTGTTAACAAACTGCTGGACAACGAATGTTTTCTCATCGGAGAAAACCAAATTCGGCAGTTCACCACTTTCTGCCAAGCGAAGCAACTCCTTCACCTCTTTTGAGTCTATTTTCTTTCTGTTGCGGTGTAAGTTCTTGCACTTTTTGGAATTTCAATGGCTTTACCCCAAGCTCATTTTTCAATACTTGCCAAATGGAATATTGCTATATGTGCAGCTCACGACCCATTTTTTGGCCACTGCGACGCGGGTTTCGATCAAGTCGCTTCTCTAATTTTCGAACCATTTAGTTGTAATTTGTTCAAAATATCTCCAAAACTACATTTTGTTCAGCAAAAGAAATAGATTTTCTCATTCTCTCATTTCTTTTCCAGGGAAGTTAAACGTACAGCAGGCGTCTCAACAACAGATTTAGTCGGTCGCATGTTGTTATTAACCAAAAATCATTTCCATCAGGGTTCAGCCGAATATGCCATCGAAAAAGAAGGTATGTTGTTTTGTTTTTGATGTTTTTTTAGTAACAGTAATTAGTAGTTGGTTGTAAGTAGTACCATATTATAATGCTTTTGTAAATATGCTTTATTGAAAAAAGAAAACGTATTTTAAATTATATAAATACAAATACTTAATGCTTAAGATTGCTAGTTGTTGTTCATTTGGTTATTTTTTAATTTTGTTTGTTAAAATTGTTGTATTTAACTTCGTTGCTTTTTAACGTTTTATTGTTAACAATTTTCTTAAAAAGCTTGGCTCGAAAGAACATTCTTTTCTCAATTTGTTTTGAAAATTCTTTTTATTTCTCTCCTTAAATTAATTAAAATTCTCTTCAAAACTAATATTAATAACTATACAATTTTATTGCATGCTGCCAAATCAAACCTGAACAATTTTATTCTTTTCCTCAAATGAAAAAGTCTTGAGTATTTGTTTACGATTTTATTATGGATTAGGTTATTTAAAATTTATTTATATATCTCAAATTATTTGTATGTTGAAAGTTTTGTATTTAATTATTTAGTGTAGTGTATCTTTGTGTTTCAAATGTTTATTTTTTAAAAGTCATGAAAGCCATGAAAATAACAATTAACTATTTATGTTTTTCTTCTTTTTCTTTTTTTATTCTATGTCTAAAACCCAACACCACTTCCACTTACCTAACTACTACCTACCACCTAATTCAACACCTTCCTATCAACTCCTTAACCTATAAACTACGTAAAAATAACTTCCTAATGTCTCTAAAATAAATCCTCTTTCCTGTTTCAACCTAACCTTAATCTTGCTTTGTCTCTAATGTCAATAAAACAAAACAAAAATGTTTGTATATTTATTAAATTTATGCTAATTAAAAAACGAAAAATATTGCCACCTGATATGTCAAAACTCTTGCACAAATCTATCTATGCCTAAAACTATGCTTTAAAAATCCAATGTAAAACATTGTCACACTCTATTGGTGTCTTGGTTGTATTTCTTTTGTTATTTGTAAATGTCTTCAACACTTGAGTCATTCTTTCATTATATTTCTTTATTTAATAAAATCTTTATGATTTTGTATTGAATATTTTTAAATTAAAAAAAAAACAAACAAAAACAACTCCACACATACAACAACCATAGATAAAGTTTTATTTGACAATGTCATGAATAAAACAATATCAAAATGCAAATTATTATTGTCAGGTTCATCGAATATGGGTCAAGATTCATCTGCCAAATCACCATGGACCGGTTGCAGTCAGTTCCTGCCCACCACACAAAAGATCATACAGTTCAGTGATGGCAAAGCCCCCAAACCAGGCGATAAAATTGTAAGTATTCCATCAAAAGAATGAGTTGAAAATTTATTATCATTTTTGTTTTTCATTTCCAAGGTCTATGTTGCCGGTGCCTTCGATCTATTCCATGTTGGCCACTTGGACTTTTTGGAAAAGGCCAAGGAATTAGGCGATTATTTAATTGTCGGTCTCCACACAGATCCGGTTGTGAATTCCTACAAGGGTAGCAATTATCCCATTATGAATCTACATGAACGTGTATTGAGCGTTTTAGCCTGCAAGGTAAGGGTTATGAGGTGATGGAATAAGATTTTATTTAGATTATCAAAGGTTTTCTGGCTATTTTACAAACTAGTGTAAAGTCCAAGCCATATATACAGGGTGAAATGAAAAAAACTGCAACCAACTTCAGACTGCTGTCATTTCTAAGCCACTCGTCCGACAGATGTTCTTATTCCAGTGACAACTGATTATATTGTAGCGTAGACCCACGTCAAGGAAGTGGACAGAAGAAAACAGCAACATCAGCAGAAATAAAGAAGCTACTTTGAAGGCCATATTTCGTGCCAAAGTTGACAAAATCGAACAAATCTAAACTTATTCTAAAATTTTATGCCATTTCCTACATTTTTTGCTTTCATTCAATGGAATTTAAAAAAAGTAAAAATTATGGCGTTTGACTTTGAACTATTTAATTGCTGTGCCAAAAATTCTCCACTCACTCCAAAAGACTTCTGACTACAACCCGTAAAAGTAACCGAATTTTTGGACCTGTAGTTAGAACCGGATCACAAAGAGATGCGATCAATAATGTTTGGAAGCCTGGGACTAGTGCCATCTCCCATCTCTTATTTATGACCCAATAGCTCAACTCGAAAGAGAAACTATCAAACTTAAAATATTGACATTGCCGGATTTTAGTTTAGCTAAAAGCAAACCAGATTGCCTTGAAAGTAAAGGCGAACTATCAAACATCCCTTAAAGACAAGTTTTTATTGCATTTGCAGACATTTTTAAAATTATATGTAATTTATATTATTTTTTTATATTTTAATAAAAATTATCCGGGTTGTTATTAACATGGTATTTTTGTTTTCTCCCCCATTCTTTTCAGTATGTCAATGAAGTGGTTATTGGCGCTCCCTACTGTGTGACCGAAGATCTCTTGGATCATTTCAAAGTGGATGTTGTGTGTCATGGTCAGACACCCATTGCCTTAGAGGATGGCAAAATTGATCCTTATGCCATACCAAAGACACGAGGCATTTTCTGCCTTATTGATTCGTCGAACACAATGACCACAGAACGTATTGTGGAGCGTATCATTTCACATCGCCTCGAATATGAGAGACGCAACAAAGCCAAAGAGAAGAAGGAGGTTGAGGCCTTTGAGGCGCTGCAACGTGCCAAGCTGACACAAAAGGCTGGCTAATAATCTAGATAGCCAAGCTATAGCTACGTAGGATATGAGGACAATGAAGCCATACAGAAAATCTCTTAATTTTTTTTTAAATTACACATTTTGAAATCGAAATGCCACACCTGCCGCCTGCGCCCAACAAGGAGAAACCAAAAAACTTCTCGATATAAACTAGAAGGAGTTTCAACAACCAACAGACATGGCTCCATTTTCTTCAGCAACATCCAACATTTGTTTGAAAAGAGAATTTCATGTAATTTTATAGTTATTTTTTAAGTTTATTTTTTAATTATTGGTTTTTAAATTTAGAATTGGTTTTCTTTTTTTTTTATTTTTGTTAATTCATATTTGTTTAGATTTGCAATAGCAGCGATATTCATTCTCCATATTAATAGCTGTAACAACAAAAAATTGCCTTATGTTTGTTAGAATATTATCGCATGCGATAAATTTTTATTTTCTAATCCAACATGCGATATTTTTAATTTTAATATTACATGAGATATTTTTATTTATTTTGTTTTTTTCCAAATTATCTATTTTGTGTAGTTGTTTTTTTTTTCAAAATTTTCATTTTGTTAATCACTCTTTGTTTATAAAGAGTTTAGAAGACATAGAAATACAAACTCCTGTCAACAAACAGAAATTAGACACATTTTTGTGTCTCCACCCCCCTAATAAATATATGATATAATGAAATATATATTTTTAGTTAGAAATTTTATATATGTATAAGCTCTTGTATAAGATATCTTATTCTAACTAAATCGTATGTAGCTACTGTTTGTTATGTATTTTTCAAAAGATAAAACAAAACAGAAATTTTTACAAAATTAATCAAAATTATATTGATAACGAAATACATTTCTAGAGGAGGAAATTAATTAATCTCCATTCAGCTTTTTTTCTTCTTCTCCTCTACCAGATATATATGAAGTGAAAACGGAGTCTTACACAGAGCTCAAAATATTGTCAATCCTAAATGCCATTGAGTAAGACTTTTTGTTTTTACTGTATATATGTATGTATTCAATTTCAATATCCCTATGCCTTTGCTCACCTGCTTTAAAACAATAACCTTAAATTTATGCAAATTATTGTCCAACCCAACTGTTCGTTCTACTGCTTAACAGAAAAGAAACCATAGATCAGTAAAAAAATAATCAACTATGATATCTATTTTAAATGAATATTAATTTAATACCCCAGAAAATAAACATTTATTTTTTATTATTTTGTTTAGTGTTGTAACCTATCTTGCTGCGGATTCTTGTTTGCTCTTTTAGATAGAAATCAAACAAGATGATGTCAAAGAAGAAATAGATTTGTAATTGTTTTACATTAGAATGATTATATTTTATAATTTAATTTATTATATGTGTTAATAAAGAAAACAAAAATTGTCATATTAAAAATAACAATTTGTTTAATTTATTTGGAAAAAACAGTCTATGTAACCCCTTTGTAAATGATATTTATTAAATTGGCTCTTTTATGAGGAACTTTGGCTCTTGTAATAGCTTCGCGTGATTTGCTTGATTTCTGCTAATCCGGTTCTAACTCTAAATTCAAAAATCTGGCTACATTCGGGGGCAGAAGATAAAGATTTCGATTCTTTGTCAGTTGTTACACCTCATCTGGTGTTCGTGCATCAAGTAAAGGGATTTCAGTTCGCTAAGATGTACTGCTCTCAGGTCGCCCCGCTCTCTACTTTGGACGCTCCGATGACAATTCCCGAAGGCATTTCCCTTTTTCTCGACTGGTGAGTTGCCTCCCATTATCCGTGATTGGGCACCTTAAAGCTTTGCCACAATTCGTTTTCAGAACGCTTTGACGACCCTCTAGCGGTAGTCTTACGTAACGTCACTAATTCCACTCACTTTGAGAACCGATCTATGATAGCTAGTAGTATTGTATTGCCACGCTCGAATGGCACAAAGTCGGAACAGATCGGAAAAAAATATTTCACTGCACAGAAAGAGAAGATATAATCCAATTTTGCTCTAACTTTGAAAATCCTAGTATTTGCATCAGTGCTACGTCAGGTGCGAAAATGGTCCCCTCCATTAAGTACCTCATCTACAAAGGGTTAAAATTTTGTATAATTACATCTTCTATATATATAAAAATCAATTGTTGTTATATTGAATAATTTGTTATTGTTGAATAATTTTTTGTGCAAACATTCGTCATACCCCGAGTTAGGTTTTTAAAGAAAAAAATATTGACCACGCCTACTTTTACGCCCACTATTTAGATTTATCTAAAATGCTTATATTTGCCAAATTAATGAAGATATCGGTTTGAGAATTATTACACGAGATACTGTTGGCTTTCCATCCAACCGTAAGTATTTATTTAGGGGGGCTGAGGAACGCGCCTGCTTTTAAATCTGTCTCTCTATATGTAAAAGAAAGTTATGTTAGTTACTACGCTTATAATATAAAGACCGACGGTCTGATTTTAACGATTCAGACAAATTCGGAATTGCCTCTTGACAGAAAAGTCTAAATTCCAATTTTCATTTTGACTTTTAAAACGTACAATAGTAATGTTTTATTTTGCATAATTTTTTTTCCATTTTGACTTACTATTTTCAAATGTACATTTGTAGCTTTTTTTTTTTTTTTTTGGAATTCTAATATGATTTGTAGTTTTTTGGGTAGTATAAAGCGACAACGGATAAAACTGTTATTTATAGATTTTATGTATTTATTGGGTAATACGAATAATATAATTTCAGAAGAGAAAATTATATGAAAATTCTAAAATCGGGAAAAATCGAAAATTTTTCAATGGAATTGAATTTCAAAATAATAGTACATTCTACAGACAAACTTCATATGGACCTTTAAAAATTTGCCGTAAAAAATCAGCGAACCAGTTGAAGATTATTTGTCTTATTTCAATCCTTTCTTATTTCTATATTGGAAGATGCGAACACATTTATACAAACAAAAATGATCGAAAAAGCGTTATGGGGTTCACTTCAAAAAGTGGACCTGTTTCTTTCATATGACAATAATTCATCCAATGAGAACTCAAAATGCAAAATACATTGGGAGTGCAATCCGTGAAATACCGACTATAAAGGACGCAAAATAGTAGAGCGAATTCCTTCCAGAAATTTTTTATAAACATTCAAGATACCTTTAATCGCTTTGGCAGGTCATGATATGGGTCATAACCCCCGACAACGGAACAACCCGATTTCAAGTATATTCTACATTTTAACCATATTTTTCGTACTAATTTTGCCTTATGTTGATAATTTAAATAAAACCATCCTTGCAAGAAATTATCACATTTTAGTATCACCATCATATGATTTAAGGTATTTTCGGGGTCTTGGCTACTTTTTCCATTTTTGGCCCTTATTCGACATCTTTGTTTCTTAGGGGGAAGAAAACCTCTTCTCATAAATTTTTTTTTTCGGAAAAGGGCCCATCTTAGTCTTTAGGCCACTTTGGGTAAAAAACCCTGAGGTAGAAAACCATCTTACAGATAATTATCCACATAGGCATTTATTTAAGTATAGTCCCCACATTAGTATACCCCCAAGTCCACTTTCCCAACCAATGTGTGGTCAGAAAAGAAAATTTGGTATTCTATTGAATTTGTAACCCCCAAGAAAATATTGGTTGGGAACGTAGATTTGGGATGTACGTCTATATGAAATAAACTCCGAAATGTAACTCTGGGACTTCGCAAATTGTGGCAGAAATATACGAAATTAGAAAGTAACATGAGACCGAATATTTCCTTAATCTTCATTGAATTACACTACGATGAAAAATGTGGACTTTATTGGATCTCCATCGCACAATTTAAATGACAAAAAATTTATGCCCAAAAGAGTATTTTTTTGGCTATTCTGACAACATTCTGCCTTCAAGTATGAGGTGAACAAAACTAAATACCAAGTAATTTTAAACGTTGGAAATACAAATTCGAAATTATAGATCATTTGAATGAAAATGTTAAGCTTTGTACCAGAATAAAAATTGAGCTGAATTTTCACATTATAGATTTTCTTTATCATAAAGGTATTCATAAGGGTCAAAATTTTGAATATCCATGGAGGTCATTAAACGCGAAATAAGCATCAGGATCTCTTTATATTTCACACATCAAATTATTTCTACTAACACAAGATCTGCTGTGAAGATGTAAGACGGTCCACTCCATCTGGTATCTCCCCCACAAAGGGTCAAAATTTTGAATATCCATGAAGCTATTAAAACGCGAAATTAACATTCAATTCTATTCAGACTTGGTGCATCTCAATATTTCCATCAACACAATATCCGTTATAAAGATGGTAGAGATCAGACCATTCCAAAGGGTCAAAATATTAAATAACCAAAACAATCATAAAATCCGATGTAAGCATCCGGTTCTCTTCAATTTTTTTCTAAAACAAGATCTACTGTGAAAATGGGGTATATCGGCGCATTTCTTCTGGTACATCCCCCACAATGGTTCAAAATGTAAAAAAAAACGAAACGTGAAATTAACTTTCAAATACATCCAAGCATTTTTGCTAACGCAAAATCTGTTGTGAAGATGATAGATATCTGTCAAGCACTTCTGGTACCTCACCCACAAAGGCTCGCAATTTCCAATACTTATATTTGTCATAACTTGCAACTAATTCTAACTAATTTCTGTTAAACAGAAATCTGATATGAATATGAAATTTATCGGAATATATGATTTCGTATAAAATTGGATATAAATGTTCGATTTACCAATATCTTTATCTGTATTAGATGAAGTGGAATATTTCGGTCCGCTAAATCTGGTACCTCACACATATTTCCACATTTTCCAAAAATTGGCACATATCTCATATAAAGTGTAGGAAGTAGTCGATATAGTCCAAATGTGGCACGTGTTAATATTTATACCTTCGATTATATTAGAATACATAAAACGCTTATCTGGAGCCTAAGACCAAAATCGAACTAAGTCAAACTAAAATTCCTTTGTTCATCTACGAAGAAGCCAGCCGATGACTTAAGCCAGCCAAATATGCGCTTTATGTATTTCCACCCTTACCGGTGCAAACCGCACCTTTAACCGGCGATCATAACAATGCGATGTGTTACTGCTGTTGACGGCAGACATGTTATTAATGCAACTTTGTATGCTACTTTATCGATGGTACTCTTTGCTCCATACTCTGTCCCTGCTCGGGCGCCATTTGTTTACAAATACTAGTAGGATAAATAACATAAAGGTGGGAATACATACGGTGTTTTTTGAATTGGCTTCTTTGTTAAAGAACAAAGGAGCATAGACGATTACGTACCGAAATTGAAGTAAAGCAACCCAAAACTTCTTTGTACTTTAACAAAGAAGCCAGTCGATGACTTAAGACATTAAAAAATCTCTTTAAAGGTGAGAAAACATAAATCGCTTTTTTGACTGGCTTCTTTGTAAAAGAACAAAGGAGCGAAGGGCCAAAATCGAACTAAGTCAACCTAAAACACCTTTGCTCCTCTACAAAGAAGCCAGCCGATGATTGAGCCAGGCAAAAAAAGCCTTTTGTGTACTCTCGCCTACCAACCAACACAAACTTATTATAACATCTACATACAGGTGTACAGCATATAAATTAAATTAGCACCATTGTCAATTATATAACAACATTTACTAAAACTAAAAAAAACAATAATTTTTCGTGTTAACCCCATTGACTGTCAATAAATAAAAAACGCACAATTATTATTTTGCTTATTTTAAAAATTTTCCTGAAAACATGCGGAAGTCTATTTTTGCAAAACAAAATTATACGGTAGATGTTTTATGAAAAAAAAAATAAATAAATAAAATAAAAAAAAGAAAACAAAAACATCCGAGTGAATCCATTAAACTTCCGTTTAC